CCTGCACATTTCCTCCTGTCTCCTTGGCTCCTGAACCAATCGCTGTGTACCCGTTGTTATTACACCATTCAGCGCCCCCCCTTTTGATCTGGGAGTGAGATTAGTCTCCCCAAAGGAAAGGCTATGTAGCGGTGGGGTCTATACACTAACCAAGTCTGGATATCATTAAGAATGATACCTACCAGGCAGGTAAGTAACAGTGCTAGTGCTTTACCCTGAATTTATTATATTAAATCAAAATCTTGACTAGTTGGGGAATTTGCTGACTACATAGTTGTTATTTAGGTATTTCTGAGACCACAGATTGTTTAAATGGTATTTAAATAGTATTATGCTATTTTACCTAAAGACATCACATAAAAATAACCTCATCTCAGTACTGCTATAAGAAGCAACTTGGTCATGTTCCACACTGGAAAGTATGCTGCGTATAAAACATAAAGTAGATGTCGTATATGTTGAATACCGTGACGCATTCCTACAGCTTAATAGCATTTTACGTAGTTTAAAATTAGACCCTGGTTTGAGATAGACTGGTCTGCTTTGGTACTAGAGTTTTACTAAACCTTTATTACATTTCATACTCTCCTAGAGTGAAAAGGGTATTTCAGGAAAGTGAGTAGGTAGAATTTTCTAAATAATAAAAAATGTTTTAGGTATAAAATATAAATGTATTTTAATAAGGACCAACACCAAGGGTTTCAGATAAAGAAGGCTCCATAGACAAGGTATGGACATTCGGCAGGCCCTCAAAAGGAAAGAAAGTCTGAAACACCTAGAAAGGTACAGCAAGCGCATTTGCCAGCAGAAAGGATAACAGGAAGGTTTGGGGATGGCCAGGGACATGCCTGGATGAAGGTGGGTAGATTAGTGTGTTTGGAGGAAAATGTGCCTGTAAAGATACAGTGAGAGAGAAGTTTGACGAGGCTGGAACAACCTGAATGGGACCCAGAATCTGGGTTTTATCCTGTCATTGAGGGAAGGCTTTTCTCTTTCTACGGAAAATAGGATTATCTGGGCAGAGCAGGGTTTTAGAAAGATTCCTCACAGAGTATACAAGGTAGGTTAGAGCCAAAAAACGATGGAATCAGAGCATTTGGCAACTATTGATTGGCCTGGGCTTGAGATACAGTATGAACAAAACAGAGTAGCAGTGATAAGAACTTAAAGGATGGATACTAAAGACATAATAGCCTGAGAGGAGTTGGTAGCTGACTGGATTTTGTGGCAGGAAACTGAGTGTAAAGTAATTCAAGATGCCAAAGACATAACTGGAAAGGGATGGCACCATTGCCAGGATGGTCAAGTTTGGGGATGGTGGTAGAATAGATGTTTTCCATAAAGGATGAGTTTAGTTTTACGTTAACACCATGTCAAAGTGGTAATAAATGTCCAACAGTAGTTGGGTATGTGAAACAAAGTTATTGAAGCATTGTAGTATACACAGGAGGTAGAACTGTTAACAAGGAAAAATTGTTCCCATCCTCATGGAACTAGCTGGGGTCTACAAATATATTTAAGTGAATATATACTGAAGAAATAATAGCCCTGAAGAGTATGGTTCAGTTGGTTGGGCATGTTCAGTGCATCAAAAGGTTGCTGGTTTGATTCCCAGTCAGGCCACATGCCCAGGTTGCAGGTGAGATTGCTGGTGGGGGGCATGCAGGCAGCAGCTGATATGTTTCTCTCTCTCCCTCTCCCTTCCCTCTCTCTAAAAATCAATAAAAATATTTTTTTAAATAGAATTTGCCCGCCGTGTATGTTCGCCTCTTCCTCAACTACCTGTAAATCACCCATTCTCATTTCTGAAATCTAATACCCCACTTCCCCTTTTAAAAAAAAAAGTGGATTTAATTTAAAAATATGGGTAAAAGTCCCTGGGCAGTGTGGTTCGGTTGGAGCGCCGTCCTGTACAAGAAAAGGTAGTGGGTTCAGTTCCATCTCAGGGCACATACCCAGGTTGTGGATTCGATCCCTGGTCAGGGTGCATGCAAGAGGCAACCAATCCATGTTCCTCTCTCACATCAATGTTTCTGTCTCTCTAAACAACAACAAAAATATGGGTAAAAGGAGGTAGGTGGGGCATAGATAAAACAAGATTAACAATGAGTTGATAATTGTTGAATCTTAGTGCTGGACACATGGAGGTTCATTTTACTCTTTTCTCTACTTTTCTATATGATTGAAATTTTCCACAGTGAAATGTTTTTCTGCAAAGGCAAACAGTTCTGTGCATAGAGCTGGTAATTAGAGAAGATGTTTGAGAGAGTGATGAAATGGTATCCAAAGAGTAGGCCAAAGGAGGTGGGAGAAATACGAGAAAAGTATAGTGTCTGGGAACTGGAAAAGATAAAAGATGTTTCAAGGAAAAGATGGATGATAGTGATAAATGACTGCTATAGCCGTCAAAGAAGTTGTTGTTACAGGCCCTGACCGGTGTGGCTCAATTGGTTGGGCGTCATCCTGTGAACCCGAAGGTTGCCAGCTGCTTTCCTCTGATTCCCTGTCAAGGGCACATGCCCAAGTTGGGTGCTCAGTCCCCAGTAGGAGTGTGCAGGAGGCCCCCGATTGATATTGCACTCTCACATCGATGTTTCTCTCTCCCTTCTCTCTCTAAAAATAAACTATTAAAAAAAAAGTTGTTACACCTTACATCTAGCAAATCACTTGTTTCTAATTTTGTTTCTTTCTGGTTGGATGTTCCTTGATGGCTAAAAGGAATTGGGTACCTGAGAAGCTTGAGAAAACTGTTTTAATCGAGTCATTTGATAATGTGTTTATTACTTGAGAAATATTGTCCAAACTTTATTTCCTAATATGCAAATATCTATTCTATTTGTAGGAAACAAATGAACAAAAACTTCACAACATAGCCAACGAACTTTTGCTTACAGAAAGAGCTTACGTTAACCGACTTGACCTCTTAGATCAGGTAATATTTTCCTTTTCAGGATTATTTAAATTTTTGGTACTATACATTATTTTAACTCAATAATTAAAGTGTTAAGAAACTACAAAGAAGGGCCTGACCATTTTTGGCCAGTGAAAGGAAGTTTAAAACATTTCCAGCTTTGTAGTGAATTCACTGGATATAAAGGGTTTATACTTCATAAAGAGCAGACTGAAGGACTCTCAGTACAAGTCACAAGTGCCTGTATCTTGTGTCTTTCAGCTCCAAACACTAGTCTGTTTCTTGACCATTTATTGTGATCCTGTATGCCATGTTATTATTACAATCTAAATAATAGATTGGTAATGCTGATGTGATACTAACATGAATATATCACTGATTCTGTTTGGCTCGTTTGCTGTTCAGCCCTGTGTGCATGATCTGAGTGGCTACAGTCATAGGGCCAGAAGGGATTTTGAGAGTTCCCTTGTCCAGCCTTGTATGAAACGTTTAATACAGTGCCTGGTGTAATGTTGCACAGTTAATATTTGTTGAATATGTGAGTGTACTTTATCACATTTTCTGCTTTCATCATGGTAGAGCCTTGAGTATCATTTCAAATGCACATTTGCAGAGAAAGTTGTTTTTTTCAGTATTTATTTATTTTTTAATTGAATATATTGGAGTGACATTGGTGACAACTATATAGGTCTCAGGTGTACAGTTCTGTAATCCATCATCTGTATATTGTATTGTGTGTTCACCACCCCAAGTCAGGTCTCCTTCTGTCACCATTTATTCCCCTTTACCCTCTTCTGCCTCCCCCCACCCCCTATCCCTCTGGGAATCACCAGACTGTTGTCTTTGTCTAAGAGTTTTTTGTGGGTGTTTTTTGCTTAATCCTTCACTGTTTTCACGCAGACCCCCAATCCCCCTCTCCTCTGACAGCTATCAATCTGTTCTCTGTATCTAGGAATCTGTTTCTATTTTGTTTGTTTATTTTGATTATTAGATTTCACATATAAGTAAAATCATATGCTATTTATCTTTCTCTGACTGGCTGATTTCACTTAGTATATAATACTCCCTAGGTCCACCCATGCTGTCACAAAAGGCAACACTTCCTTCTTTTTTACGACTGAGTCGTATTCCACTGTGTGAATGTCCCACAGCTTTTTTATCTACTCATCTACTGATGGGCACTCGGGCTGCTTCCAAATCTTAGCTATTGTAGATAACACTGCAGTGAACATGGGGGAACATATATCCTTTCAAGTTAGTGTTTCGGGTTTCTTTGGATATATTCCCTGAAGTAAAATCACTGGGTCATAAGGCAGTTCCATTTTTAATTTTTTGAGGTAGCTCCATACTGTTTTCCACAGTGGCTGCCCCCGTCTGCATTCCCACCAACAGTGCACCAGGGCTCCCTTTTGTCCACACCCTTGCCAGCACTTGTTTTATTGATGGTAGACATTCTGACAGGTGTGAGGTGATACCTCATTGTGGTTTTAANCACCAACAGTGCACCAGGGCTCCCTTTTGTCCACACCCTCGCCAGCACTTGTTTTATTGATGGTAGACATTCTGACAGGTGTGAGGTGATACCTCATTGTGGTTTTAATTTGTATTTCTTTGATGATTAGTGAAGATGAACCTCCTTTTATATGTCTATTAACCCTCTCGATGTCCTCTTTGGAGAAGTGTCTATTCAGGTCCTTTTCCCATTTTTAAATTGGATTATTATTAAATTTTTTTTCGTGTTGTTTTAAATTCTCTATAAATGTTGGATATTAATCCCTTATCAGATATATTGATTAATATATTCTCCCATTCACTGGGCTATCTTTTCATTTTGTTGATGGTTTTCTTTGCTGTGCAAAAATTTCTTAGTTTGATGTAGTCCATTTGTTTTTTTCTTTTGTTTCCCTTGCCAGAGGAGATATAACAGAAAAAATATTACTATAAGAAATGTCCGAGATTTTACTGCTTATGTTTTCTTCTAGGATTTTTATGGTTTTGAGTCTAACATTTAATTCTTTGTCCATTTTGAGTTTAGTCTTGTGTATGGTGTGAGAAGGTAGTCTAGTTTTATTTTTTTGCACGACTCTGTCCAATTTTCCCAGCACCATTTATTAAATAGCCTCTTTACCCCACTGTATGTCCTTGCCTTCTTTGTCAAATATTAATTGACCATAAAGGTGTGGATTTATTTCTGGGCTTTCTATTCTGTTCCATTGATCTATATGTTTATTTTTATGCCAGTACCATGCTGTTTTGATTATGATGGGCTTGCAGTATAGTCTGATATCATGTAGTGTGATTCCTTCAACTTTGTTCTTCGTTCTCAAGATTTCTATGGCTATTTGCAGTCTTTTGTGGTTCCATATAAATATTTATTCTAGTTCTGTGAAAAAGTTTTGAAATGTATCCTAAAAGTAACTGTTGAAAACTAAGATCTCTTAATCCTGCTTTAATGATAAAAGAACAAAGATAAATGATAGATTGTTTGCTAATACAGACTCCTCTTATTAGAAGAGAAAGTTGCCATGTTTGAGTGTTAGTTGTAAGAAAAATTGTCCCACTTCTGCCGGTGAAAAACTGGAACTTCATGGGAGCAGGTCATCCTGTGCACACTCCCTGTTATTGATTCCTAAGCTGTCCCTGTTACAGTGAGCCCTGAGGGGCCAAATTAAAGCTGTGTTCTTTGAAATAATGAATTCGAGTCTCAAATATTCATTTTTCAAAGAATATCTCTATAAGTCAATCAGTTTATACTGCACTTGTGCCTTTGAAAGAACTTTTTTCCTCGCAGGGCTCACAGACCTGTGACTTTTAGGTATTCCAATAGTGGAGATATGTCTCTTTTTTTAAATTGCATTGTGCCCCCCACCCCACCACCAACACCTTTTTTTTCTTGCCAGCCACATTAGCTTGTTCAGCTATGGTTACTGACCTTAGAGAATTTTAGAGTCTTAATTACTACAATATCCTGTCTTTTGGAGTCTCCAGGGACATAATTTTGTGTTCTTTTCGCCTCCCAAGAAAATGCAGTGGAGGTGAATTTAGAAAACTAACAACCATCTGGACATTATGAAGGATCAGACCTCCTTCTGCCTGCCTGCATTTAACAGAATGGCAATAGGAATAGTAGCCCTACTGGAGTATAGCTAAGACTGCAGATTCTTTTTTATTGTCTTTAAGACACCTGTTATCATGTGCAGGAGAAGATCTTTCTATCCTCATACCAGTGTTTTAAGTTATGCATTATTTTTTACTAAAAAGCAGGAAAACATTGGAGAACTAAAATATTATTTTGTTCATCCACTGACCAACTATTTATTAAGCACCTTTTCTACTGTGGAAACTAAGTACCTTTTATACTATAGAAACTAAATCATGATGTCTTCCCTTCTCAAGGAGTGGACAGTTTTAATAGAAAAAATGAGATTCATGCCAACAAATGACAGTAAAGGCAATATATAGTCAATGACATATAAGTCATTCAGAACACAAACAGGAGTGGAAAATACCACAATTGTGATGTGTATGTAAAGGTGGGTGTTTTTTTTAATCTCTTTACCTATGGATAGGAAAGGTGAATCCTGTTAACCTCCATTGGAAATTCTTTGGTAAAGAAAAGCTTAACATCCCACAGAAAGAGGCATAGCCTAGATCAGAGTCAAGGTTTCCTAATTCTAATTCCTGGTTCTTCTCAATCAAAGCACATACTCACTCCTACAGTTCAAAAATGATTGATTTCTTAAACCACGAACTTTTTCATTTATTCCGCAAAAAGTTACTGAAGAGCCTGCTGTGTGCCTACCCCAGTGCCAGGGGCAAGCCAATAAATGTGAAGTAATTTTGCTCAATTCTCTTACTCAGGTATTTTATTGCAAACTATTGGAAGAGGCAAATCGAGGCTCTTTTCCAGCAGAGATGGTGAATAAAATCTTTTCTAATATTTCATCAATAAATGCCTTCCATAGTAAATTCCTGTTGCCAGAACTGGAGAAGCGAATGCAAGAATGGTAAGAGGAGTAGAGAGCAAATGCTCTGCCTAAGGCGGTGATTCTAGATGTCGTGTTATTCAGCCACTACACTGAAATACTGGTGTTACACAGAGCTGTGGCCAAACACTTGTGCTAAAGTTTTATTTTATAGACCAATAATAGAAGTTGTACTTTTTCAATTTTAGTTGAAAAGGGTTTCATCTCTACCCTCCAAACTATTTCAACTAGTGAAGATAAGATATTAAGGGTAACCTGGGTCTTCAAGATTTTCTTAGCCCCTCTCCTTACTATGTCATTCCTAAACTTCCTGTAATTCTCCGCTTTCCTTCACTATCTGCCAATCTCACAGCAAAGTGGATTCGATAAGCATAGGGTATGTGTAGAAAAGTGATCATTTGAAGTCCTGTTAATTCATTTATTCTATAAGAAATCTTAATGACTTGTTTCTATATTTTATACAGGGAAACTACCCCTAGAATTGGTGACATCCTTCAGAAACTGGCACCATTCCTTAAGATGTATGGAGAGTATGTGAAGGGATTTGATAACGCAATGGAATTGGTTAAAAACATGACAGAGCGTATTCCCCAGTTCAAGTCAGTGGTTGAAGAAATTCAGGTAATATGACTCCTTTGTTCAAGGCTGTGCATCCGTTTTTCTGTACAAATCATAAAGTCTTCTAGATCTGTCCGACACACCTAGGCAAATTCCATTCAACTCTGAATTATGCAAAAATCATCTCTGCAAAATTAAAATATTGAGCATATACATGTGTTGAGCAGTAAATTCTCCATTTGCTTTTGAGACCAGGAGAGCGGTTTTATCATGGTCCATGTAAATTACAAAGTGAATTCCCATTTAGTTCTGTGCTTCTCTGACTTTCGTTCAGAGGTGGAGATGTTGGAATGAATATAAGGAATGATTGCTATAAATCCTGACATTTTAGAAACAATTATTCTGGATTTTTTTGGTCACTTTGCTTATATGTTCTGACTTTTTAAAAATTTTATTATACCTAGATAATGCATTTTAATAATGCCGTAGTAATTTCTGTTTGATTCTCTAGTCAAAATTGTTAGTAACTATTATTGTGCAACAAGCTCCAGATTAAGCACCTTGAGTATATTATCTCACAGGCAAATATAGAGGAGGAAACACAAGAGAGAGTATCGAGGAGCAACAGAACCCCCAACCCCAGCATCTTATGTGTTCTAGGGAATTCCTTTTCAATATTTACACTTTAGCAAAGAATACTCACTACCTGATGGTGGTGATGGCTGTCATTATTTCATCAAATCTGAAATCTGTCTCTACAATGTCTGTCATCTATATACCTATGAGGAATTGATGGGGTTGTGAAAGGAACGATGGATTGAGAATCAGCTAACCTAGTTTAGAATCCTAGTCTGCCGCTCACAATCATTTGACCTTAGAAAGCTCTCCTAACTCTTCTGAGCCACAGTTTCTTTACAAATTTTGAGATCAGTAATATTTTCTTGGATGTGTGTGTGTGTGTGTGTGTGTACGTGTGTGTTAGAGAAAATCAAATGAGATAGCTAAACTTATAACATTAATATTTATTAAGCAAAGCCATTAGCCCTCAGCTTCCATGCTAATTTAAGACTCTTTTTACTTTTCCTGGTCTACAATAATAACTTCCAAACTAGTTTCCCCCCATCTTCCTAAAGCCACATTGCAGTAAGTTGATCTTAATACACCTCTAATGAAATCATTCACCTGCGTGAAAACCTGTAGATGAAACAATACTAAACCCAGTTTTACATGATTACCCCAGATTGCTGTTTCTCCTTCATCCCATTTCCCTACAAATATATTATTTGCCAACAAAACTCAGTTGTTCCCTTTTACTGAACATGTTTCATGCCCCACATATTTCATCTTCACCCACAGCCTGCCCTCATCCAAGTTCACATTAAATGACCCTTTCTCTGTGAAACCTTTGGTTTCTCGTTTGTTTAAAATGCAAACATCATGTCTTAATACGACGTTTATACCCTTGCCTTAATCATGGTATGAGTTGGATAAATATGTTAAGGAGATTTATGCTTTGTTTAATATAAACAAGAACACATCTTTTCAAGTAATCTTTTTCATGTCTTATAGTAACAGTTTATTGAAAACAAATGCTATAGACTCAGTTTCACCCAGGGGAAAATAAAAATCTAGTTAGGGAGTTTGGTTTCTAATGCAAAAAGAATGCCATGACTTAATGAAAAATTAAAATTTTCTGACAGATAATAAAATGATCAGATCTTGTCATTCTTCTCTGTAGAGTCTTTTTTAAGTTCAAAGGAAATGACGTTTGTGGTAGCCTTGTTATGAAATAGTTTCTGTTGAGTCCAAAGTCATTTAATGTAGTTATTCTTAGTGAAGCTCATTAAATAGTAGATGCTTCTTTTGAAAATCTCTGGAGTATGATTTAATAATGTGACCTCACACACCCTTGCAGTGACTAATTGAAGTGGTTGCCAGCAATCTGGAATTTTCTTGCTTGAAATTCTGCTCGATTTTCCTCTCTGTTCTTGCCCTAAGTTGGTGGTCCTCAAACTGTAATGGAAGAATCTGGGATGTTTTAAAATGCACATACCCAGGCCCTAACCACAGAAATTGTAATTTCATAGGTTGGGATGGGGTTCAAAAATTCCCATTTTTAATAGCACCACAGACATAGCTAATGCAGATGATACACAGATCATACTTTGTAGGACATACTGCCCTTGATGAAAGCTCTGTATTACGTGAGTTTTTGGCTAGCTAACCTAATTTTTAAATCTTTTTTTACAAACGTTCCTAATTATAGAAACAGAAGATCTGTGGAAGCTTGACCTTGCAGCACCACATGCTAGAGCCCGTGCAGCGGATTCCCCGGTATGAGATGCTCCTTAAGGACTACCTGCGGAAGTTACCCCCTGACTCTCCAGACTGGAACGATGCTAAAAGTAAATGCTTCCCCCCCCCCTTCCCATTATGGGATAACTTAGTGGCCACACAGCTTTGTGATTCCAAAGCAAGAGAGACCTCATAGCCGCTTTAGAAACAGAAAATTTGGTCCAGAGCTGATAAGGTTGTTTTAAAAGAATTAACCCAACCAGGATTCACAAGACAGAAAAGAAAGGAAGAGAGCAGGACACAATTTAGGACTGAGAGCATTCCCTGAGGTTGAGCCAGCAGGAGACCTCAGCTTCCATAGCTTCACCAGCAGTCCCGGACCTCTTACCTTGCTCATACCAGGAGTTCCCATCCCATCTCTCGCTACCACCTGCCGCAGCAACAAAACCCCCCATTGGCATTGGCATCAGAAGATTCTTTTTCACCTGGCTGAGGCTAGAACTATGGCTATCTTTTCCCAAAGAAAGTTGATTATGCTTAGTGGTTAAATGGCTCATAAAAACAAATAAAATAATAACACTAAAATGTAGAAATTTGAGTCAGAAGATTTAGGCTCAAATATGGCCTTTTAATATCATAGCTATGTTACCTTAGCCAAGGCACACCATGCTCCATTTCTTTCATCTGTCAAATGGAGCTAATATACTTTCCATTCCAGGTTGTATAAGAAGTAATTGACCTAATACCTATGAAAGCACCTGGCAGAGTGCCTTGTCCCAAACTAGTGTACATAGTGTTTGCTGATTTTGAAAGTTCCATTATAGATTAAATATACCTATAAGCCTAATCACTGTATATGACTTTAAAAAAAAAAATGTTTTTATTGATTTGAGAGGGAGAGGGAGAGAAAGAGAAACATTGATGTGAAAGAGAATCATTGATCAGCTGCCTCCTGCACACCCCCGCCTGGGGATTGAGCCTGCAACCCAGGCATGTGCCCTGACCAGGAACTGAACTGGCAGCCTTTTGGTGCGTGGGAGGACACTCAACCAACTGAGCCACACTTGCCAGGGCTGTATATGACTTTTTATGAGGAAATACCCTTCAAGTTCCAAGTATTGATCTACTTACAAATGAACTTTTGTTTGTAAATGGAAATTGCCCCTGCTTTTGTTATGTATCTTTGGTCTCAGATTTCCGCTCCCCCCCCCATTTCTTCTTATTGTGATGTAAAGTATATGTTATTCATCTATCTAGCAGCATAGAAAGGACAACATGTATTTATTTTCTTTTCTTTTTCCCCATTTAGAATCCCTTGAAATTATATCTACAGCAGCAAGCCATTCTAATAGTGCAATAAGAAAAATGGTAAGTGGTTTCCAGAGGAGACAGGAATCTTCTGGTTAGATAATTGTCAGTAATATAGCCTAATATTATCTAACATTTGGATCAAAATGAATTGATACAGATAAACAAAAAAGATTATTTACGAACTGTTTAGTGTTATCTGTAATAACCTTCTCTTCTCCCAAGTTTTAATTTTCCTCAAAATAGACATATTTTATATCAAAATTTATGCATAGTTCTATTTGCTTCTGAGTTGTTCATATTTCAGCTAAGGTTGTTTATTATTGAAGCCACTAAGAAGAAGCCTCCTCATATTTGATGTCTCTGTGTTTTGTTTTAATTTCCTAGGATAACCTAAAGAAACTCTTAGAGATTTATGAAATGTTGGGAGAAGAGGAAGACATTGTAAATCCTTCCAATGAACTAATAAAAGAGGGACAGATCCTTAAACTAGCTGCTCGGAACACATCAGCACAGGAACGCTACCTTTTCTTAGTGAGTACTGTAGTGTGCACAGATCATGAAAGAATAATTTATAAAAGTTGTTATATACATCTTGGAAAAATAGGATGCTTGCCTGCTTTCCAAAACAATGATATCTAACCTGGTGTAGTCAACTACTATCAAGACCCCACCTAGGGAATGTCCTCAGTAACTGAAGCTTGTTCTTTCAAGGACACAGATCTTTTATCGAAGTATTCTTCTATAATTTTTGCGTGCATTTGCCATATGTAATTACTTCAGTAACCCTTACTGAAGACAATTGAACCTTTCCATGATGGTCATAGCCATCAGTGTGTATGTGAGGTATGACACAGACACACTTGATGGCTATGATTTTCAGTTTTCTCTTTCCTTTCATTCTTACAGGCTAAAAGGTACCATTTCCTGGATATCATGTCAACGTTATTTCTTGACAACAGTTTTCTTCCTAATCATCTCTAACCACTACTTTTAATCTTTCTAGTTTGAAGAACTATATAAGCAACGTTGGCAAACTTGTGCCTAAAATACCTATGTGAAAAGCAAATGTGTTTGCTACATAGTTCCTTTTCACTGGTCAGTCCTGTCCCTTCCTTCACTTCCTAGAAATGACAATTAGTCTGGGGCTTATCTCAAATGTAAGAGCTCTTCCTGGGGCATTCAGGCTATTTAGCTTTAGTCACTGGTAATTAATTCCAGCTCCTTTTCATATCTAAGGATATGATGATAAGCATGGTAATAGCTAACACTGAGTAACAATAAGGTAACATTGAGTAATAGCTCAGTAAATGTTAACTATTATTGCGATTGTTATTATAGGCAGAGGAACAGAGAGATATTGTCAAAAAGGCTGCCCAGTGACTGTCACACGATACAGTCTCAAGATGTTACTCATAGCTGACTTTTCTGCTGAGATGACTGCAGGGCAGACTTTTCTGCTGAGATGACTGCATCTCACCACTATAATATGAGTTGTCATTGGAGGCTTAGAAGTTTCTGTTGTCTGGTTATAGCTCCCTTAAAAAGAAAATTTCTAGGGGCTAATTGTCATGCGGTGTTCTCATTTTTGGAAAAAGAGCATGTGATCACCATATGACCCAGAAGTTCTACTCCAAGTTTGTATTACTCAAGAAAATTGAAATCATATGTCTGTACAAAACCTATACATGAATATTCACAGCAAAATTATTCATGCTAGCCAAAAGGTGGAAATAACCTAACTGTTCATCTTCTGGCGAATGGATAAACAAAATGTGGTATGTCCATTCAGTGGAATATGATACTACGATAAAAAGGAATAAACCACATGCCAAATGGGTGAACTTTGAAAACATCGTGTCAAGTGAAAGAAGCCATTTACAAAGGGCCACACTGTATGAATCCATTTATATGAAATATTCACAATAGGCAAATGCATAGAGGGAGGATGTCAGTAGTGGTTACCTCGGGTTGATGGGGAAGAGGAAATGGACTCAGAGTTTCCATCTGGAGTTATGAAATGTTCTGGAATTAGATGGTAGTGATCATTGTACAATTTATGACTATCCTGAAAACCATGCATTATACATTTTATAAAAGGGTATATTTTGTGGTATATAAATTATATCTCAATAACTTTTAAAAACATATAGATGTTGCCCAAATTAACTATAAAAATCATCTGAGCTCAACAGAATTACTTCACCTTTCAGAAGTTATAAAGAGAGCTGAATATGAATCAGGGACATGTAATGAACTGTCAGGGTTCAGAGCTCTATTTATTTTGAAATGTAGGTTTTGTTATTCAGGTATGATGAGTCCACCAGATTGGAGATGATTGCCATTGAGAAGATAGTTATAGTTATACTTACAGGTCCCAAAAGGAGGGAGCATTCCACACTGGAAAGCACAAGAGCCTGGAGGCAGAGGGAACAAGCAGAAAACATGGGCAAGAGCTTTTATTGTGGTTTCTACAAGAAGGGAGGGGTGGGCAAGGAAGCAGGAGAAACAGGTTTAGGATTTGTCAGTGTACATAATTTTATCAGACTCTGGGGCTTATGGGCTGTTGTCTGGGACCTGGCCTTAGGGTGATTAGGGCAGGGGAATTCTGACTCAGGGATTGAGAGCTTGATAAAGGAGGCAGTTGGGGTATGTGGGCTCTGGATAAGTTGGTTTCCATATGAAAGACGTATGTGCAGGTAAGTAAAAATTTGTTGGTTCTGGGACTTGGGTAAGCAGTCCCTCCAGTGTCAGGTAATTTCGCATCTCCTCTTCCACATTAGTGTTACAGTTTCTACAGTTAAGCTTTTTAACCACTTGCCTTAGTTTAATTTTCACATTTGAGAATTGTTCTGGAAATAGTTTTAGGTTGCATACCTTGGGGCAAAGCCAAATTAAGCAGCTATTTGGAGGACAGGTGGCAAAGAGCCTTGGAGGGATACAGCAGTAGTAACTTTGAGGCAACAACCCTCCTGTTCCAGTTAGTAGAAGCCATCAAAGGTCTCATGATGCTATTGCCTCCAGGGAGAAGAAAGTCATACCGCAGGAATTTTAGGAAAGCCACATTTCTCCTTTAAAGCATTTCCGGAGTGTTTTTTCCTTTAATCCACAGTCTCTCCTCTGGCAGCACACTTCTATTCCCACAGAGCATCTTGGTTTTTTCATCTGCAGAAACTTCACAAGTACCATTTTTATTTTCCTTTCTCTCTAGAAATAAAATGAGGGCTATTTTTCTGTTTCCTACTCTGGGGATATTACATTTTTCTGAAAAGCCAAATTATATTTAGAATCTAATTTCAGCTTTCAAATCATCATGTGTTTGCAGATTTGCTTGCCTCCACACCAGTTTTTAAAATACATATCAATGGTAAAGTATTCTGTTGATTAATAACCACACCTGACATCTGAAAGTTAAAAAAAAAAAATACCAAGTTATCCTATAAAATGACCAAAGAGGTTCTATTCTTGACCCTTTGGGGTTCTATTTCTTATTTCCTTGTAGCTTGACAGATTTAGGGGTCGTCCCCCCCTTGACTTACTTAAATTTTGAGTACAGACCAGGCTCTGGAAATTTCTCCAACAATGTACTTTAACTTTCTAAAACAAATTTTAATGAAACAGTCACTAGTGAGACAGGAAATTGACTTATTTCACTCAAATAAATATATTTTAAGAAACTTGAAATAAATAATTGAAGAACACTAGAGATCAAAAAGGGGGCACTTTCCTACTCTTTTAGTATAATTGAGACTTGCTTCTAGATTTGGGCACAGCCTGGCACTTCCAGAGCTTGCCTCCCCAGCCAGGGATAGCTCTGTCAATGTCTCCTTTCGAGCTATGGGCATGGAATAAAAAGGAAGCTCCTACACTGAAAAGGAAAGTTGATCTGCTCTGAGTTACAGTTGCTCTTACTTCCCCCTTCAGTACCCAGAGAGATTTGGAAACCCAGAGAGAAGGTGACGGTGGCTTTTGCCGCAGAAACGAGGTTCAGAAACGAGGTTCACGGAGGGAGCAGGACTAGCTACCGAATTCCTTTACACATGTACTTCTTTGTGAGCAATGTTTTGTAGCCTTCAAGAGCTCTCACCTCCAACTCTAGGAAGAAGGGAAGGGGTATTTATTCACTAGCATTAGATTGTGACCTGAGTTATACATACAGTTATTGACAATTTGGAATGTGAAGCCCCAGTTAGGAAGAATATAATAGGGGAAATGTAATCCTGAAAGCATGAAAGGGAAAGAGAAAGGTATCATTCATTATAAGATAGTCCGTCGTCTTGTGTGAGAGTAACTACAAAAGGCAGGTGGTGAGAACTTCCAGATTCATGAACTTGTGTTTCTATAAAATAACAAGACTTTGCTGAACTTTATAAAGTGAACTTGAGTACAAGTATCAGATAACTCAGAAATTTTATGCCAAAACATTACCTTTGTCACTCAGTTTGCAGAAAGATTTGGTCTTGTTGCTATCTTGAAAGTGTGAGGCCCGTCCATTTTGCGCTCAGCAGCTCATCCTGCACCATTCACAGCCTTGACCTAATCCCCTCCTGAGAAGGCCTGGATAGAAGAGAGAAAGAAATGTTAACATGAATAGTAGCAGGCAAGCTGTTGCCTTAATCAAGCTCGGATAGTGCTGAGAACCCTGCAGAATGTTTTCTAAATCCCAGGCAGTACAGTGAGGCTCTGGTAGCCATAGTTAGAATACAGCATGGGTCATTAGTGTTCTCTTCTAGAAATGTAAATGTGAAATGTGGTGTTGAGATACATCTGATAAAGTGTATTTCGTGTCTTTTTATTTCTACATTATTCAGTTGTGGAAATGAAATTTCTGACACTGGTCACAGGAGGTTGCAAACTAATGTATGAGGAACAACTGGTGAGAAATTTGCTTTCAGAATGAGTACACACATAAACGTGGAAATGTTTTTAAATATCCATCACCATTTCTTGTCTTTATGGCCATGTGGAGCCAAACAGAAGACTGGGCAGAAGAAATTTTTCCTCATTTAATCCCGTCAACAACCTGTAACTTTTACAGATAATGATCTTGAGACATAAGAGGTTACGTAGTGCGTAAGGGTTTAAGTCCCCAGTCGCTCTCGTGTTTAAAAAACATGTGTAACCCTAGAAACAATAAATATGAAGTAGGAATATAGGTATGGACCTTCTTTAGGAATCTGCCTACAAATTAACCCAAATATCTAGACACTCTCATCCTTTTGCATGATTTAACATATTTAAAGTAAATTAAATGCCCTTCCAGAGTCACTGCTTGGGCCTGATAAGCAGGAGCTGTTCATTGTTGACTAGAAATGAGGCACTACACATCATTTGACTAGGTTCAAAATAAAGTTTTTCATTTTAAAAGTAGATCCTATAAAGAAGATTTTTAAAGACTTTTTTTGCTAAAATAGATGACTTTTCTGTTTATTCACACAGGATGAATTCTTAAACAAGACATGGGTCAATATAAAACAGTGACTTAGTTTTTTACATAGAGTTAATATGCTAACCTCACATGTTTGAATGAAATTTAACCTAATAATTTTGGCTCTCTCTATATATTTTTTAATTTTGCTGGATATAGAATTTAATTTTTTTAATTTTATTTTTGTTTAAAATATTACAGATGTCCCTTTTTCTCCCCAATAACCCATTCCACCCCATCCAGTCCCCCTCCCCAGTCCCTCTCCCCACCATTGTCTGTGTCCTTGAGTTGTGCATATGTCCATATAAATTCTTTGGTTACTCTCTCCCCCTCCACCCGCTCGCCCTCCTCCATCCCTCTGACATTCGTCAGTCTCATCTATGCTTCCATGTCATTGAATCTATTCTGTTCATCTGTTTATTAAGTTCTTTAAATTCCACATATAAGCGAGACCATGTGATGTTTGTCTTTCTCTGCCTGGCTTATTTCACTCAGCATAATATTATCCAGGTCCATCCATACTGTCCCCAAGGGTACAAGATCCTTCTTTACAGCTGCGTAGTATTCCATGGTGTGAATGTCCCACAGCTTTTTTATCCACTCAGCTACTGATGGGCACTGGGGCTGTTTCCAGATTTAGCTATTGTAAACTGTGCTGCTATGAACATCGGGGTGCATATATTCTTTCCGATTAGTGTTTCAGGATTCTTAGGATACATTCCTAGGAGTGGAATTGGCTATATATTAACATTAAATACATTGGCTAAAATAATTGCCAAATATTACACTTTTCCTCTAGCTGTTAGAAGAGTTGCTCTCTAAGACCCAACAGTCAGAAATTTTGTTGTCTAAGTACTTCAGCTTTATGGGTTGTGAACTTCAGTTGCAGGTATATGGAAGGTTCTTAATAAATTGTTGCTGAATTTAATTGAATTAATTTCTTTAATAGTACAAAATGGTGATTGGTTTACTCAGATATTAATAAAATATTTATGAACCAACAAAGGGAATTATAGGCTGTAAATTTTAAAATATGATCATTTTGGTACAAGCATAAAATCTCAATATAGTATTTAAATAATTTTGCTCGCATAGAAAGTATGAACTTCTCTGGAAGTTCCTGGAATATTTCTAGAGCTGCTTTCAGTATTGGTCACTTTCTCCCCTTTGCTTTCCTGTTTATTGATATGTGTTCTGTCTCCTTGCAGTTCAACAACATGTTGCTGTACTGTGTGCCAAAATTCAGTTTGGTGGGCTCTAAGTTCACAGTTCGAACCAGGGTTGGCATCGATGGGATGCAAATTGTAGAGACTCACAATGAGGAATATCCACACACTTTCCAGGTATCTGGGAAAGAGAGAACACTGGAATTGCAAGCCAGGTAAGAGAACCATTCCTATCACACAGCTGCCTTCCCTTTTGATTCCTCCATAATGCCTCGGATAGGCGTTTTCAGAAAGTAAACATTCAATAAATTGCATTTACTCTTTAGATTTACGTGGTGCTCAGAGAATGAAGTTGTTGCATTTAAGCCAAAGTTTTGCGTCTTGTAGGAAAAGGTTCTCCCCTAACCCTTTTTTCTCCATTCTTCCTTTGGTCCACAAATGTTTATTGTTGTCCCACACTAAATGTTGAAGTTTAACTCAGTCCTTCAGAGGCTCTGCATTCACGGGACTCATTAGCACTTTGATGGAGAGAACGTTCTGAAGAGGCAGGGTGGAAAAGGTGATGATTCTCTTGCCACAGCAGGAGGATGCATGAAGGAGGACATTTGGGGATGTAGTGGCCTCTGGTGACCAGGACTTCTGAAGGGATGGTTCTTCTTATGTGCTTTACTGAGTGGGAAAGAAAGGGCTGGAGTTCCAGCATTCATCCCCCTGGCATTACCATACTTGGAAAGAAAAAAACATAAAAAGCACCACAGTAGATTACAGTTACCTAATGCGTGAGCCACTGCAGGACAGAGTGCTGTGAGGTTTTAAATACCTGTTTTAGAGGACTGTTATCCATTCATCCTATAAAGGCCTGGTATGGTGAAAACTAGGAGACTCCAGAAAGTCACAGATCGGAGGGTTGCGTACCAGTCCCAGCAGTGATGGTCTGATAACCCAGAATCCGTGGAGAGTCGAAAGCCCTTCTGTTCCTTTGCCCCAGTGGCATGTGGTTCTGGCTGCACAGGTGAATTCATCCTGGATATTTGTACTTAGTAACCACAGAAGAGCTTAAACTTCAGACTTTCAAAAAGGAATACATCATTTTAGCAGGAATTTGTGCCCTGGAAGTCAGGGAACTGATGAAATTACAGTTGTGGAAGAGGTGGCAGGCTGCCTGGGGACTGATCGAAGGATTCGAAGGTGGCATTGCAAGCATGAGTTAAAGTGGTGGAGGACTTGGTTTTGAATGTCATGGTTTTTCTGCCTTATTGTGATGGGGTTGGAGCCCCAGCCGTCAACCCAAGGGTAGAATGTATGATGTTGACTCACTGAGTGATTGGGCCTGGCAACTAGGAGGACCCCCCTATAGTTCTGATCATTAGAGAAGTTTTCATTGCAGAAGAATGAAGGGGCTGCTGGCTCTGAAATATCAGCACCCTTCCAAATCTGCAAACCCAGAGGTGCGTCTGAACAGCAGAAGACTACCAAGGCTTCTTAATTTGAAAGGGGACTCTAGCCTTCTTTTAGCAACTTGGGCTGTTTTCTCTTTAGGATGGGCTGGGTCATGAGGAATTTTCTTAAGTACAAGTAGTCATCACTTTGTAGAGTTCCAATAAGCAGTATTGGATACCTTCCAATTAGTATTAAAACATGGTCATTTTCCTTACATTTTTTATTCCCCTAATATCATTGCTTTAGTTATATTTATGATTATACGGTAAATTGAAGGTCAACATTAAGTGATTACTTGTCATCTAGTCTATAATGACTCTCAAGAATGGAAACAAACATTGAAGGTCCCAGAAAATCAGAATGTTAGTGGGATCACAAGGAACCCTAAATTGGGTATATATTTGGAGATATTTCAAGAGAATTCGCTTTGAAGCCACCTGAGGAAAAAAGGGCTCTGCTTTTCTTGCTAAATGAGTCAACCTCAAGCCTAACCTCTTGTACTCTGTGCACTCTTCCATATTCAAAGGAATATAAAGTATTCCTAGTTTTTGTAGTTTTTATTTAATGGTTTTTGGTTGCTAAATGGATATAAAAATATAGTGATAAGTAAACTAAACAAAGGAGTGAAGACCTGTCAAGTTTCTTTGCATTTTAAAAGCTACAAGCAGCTAGCATTCAACGATGCTTTTGGAGCAGTAGAGCTGATTTTGTGGGGGCAGGGCAGAGCAATAGGGAGAAATCTCTTTTGAGGAGAGAGATTGAAGGCCCCCCCCAAGGATCACCAGATGAACAATAAGTAGAATCTTTCATTTGATGGGTACAGATTCCAGCAGCATTCCTGGTACATTGTAAATTTACTGGGTAATAATAAATTTACTGAAAGAATGGACATTATCACATAATAAATTTACTGGAAGGATGGACAGTGTCACAGGAGCAAACCTCCTGCCAGACTCATACATAAGTGATCCCTGTGGGACCAAGGTATGTGCATTCAGGAGAAACTCAGACTTAGCCCTAGCCTACCGGACACATTCAAACAGAACCCACTCTTTGACGGTCTTCAAAATCCCTCAATTTAGAGATCTTAGTCCAGAGTCAACTAAAGGGGATTATTCTAGGATAGTATATAACAACAACCAGATCTGTAAGGTACCTGTAAAGGAGATGATATTAAGAAAATTTGCCTCAACAGGAAAACAGGGGACTTAAGTCAAGGAAATTTTTCCCCCCACAAAAAATTATTAAATGCTGGGGTCCATTAATTTGTGAAACCTCCTTCCTACAGGCATTTAAAATGTTTGTTTTGCTTTATCCATAATCGGTTAGGTATGGTATTACCTAAAGCCTTCTAGCAAAATAAAATTAAATGTTCATCAAAGGAAATATTAAACAGCTCCTTTCTAAGGCCTTACAAAGATATCTTAGATTCTTGAGGCTAATTATCATCTTTCTTAAGATGGGCTGTGGCTCGTAGCCTTTAAACACCCTGCCTGCTTTTTATAAAGGTGAATTGAAGACTAGTTGTATATCCAGTATAATGCTAGATCTACGGAGTTACCTGATGTCTATAACTAGATGATGGTAGTTAAACTGAATGTCAGGGCAGTCTATTATAAAAGCTAAACTTATCTCTCCCCATCAAAAATTACGTGTACTAAAGTAAATGGATGGTCTAAAACTCTGTTCAAGAATTTATTTGTTCAATTGCCAGAGAGTCTGTTTAATTTTGATTGTAACTCCCTCTTGGACATCCTCGAGTTTTCTAGAAAGTTGGAACAACATTAAAACATAGTTTTATTCACCAGGTGTAACTCATTAATGGTCTCTGCATTCAGTTTAATTTTGTTTTGTTTTAGTTCTGAACAAGACAAAGAAGAATGGATCAAGGTAAACCTTATTTCTATTTTTATTTTTTGTTTTTTGGTAACCTCTGTGTGTGTACACAAACGTGCAGATATTGTTGCATTGTGCACATGTAGTCATTAGATCAGGGTCGTTTAATTTGTAAATGGATTCCCATCATAGACATTTGTTTAATAAAGTATTTTCATGAATTTGCATGTGATACTTTAATGTGTGCTTTGAATTTTGTTTGTATTTTAGGCCCTTCAAGAGACTATCGACGCTTTCCATCAGAGGCATGAAACCTTCAGAAATGCAATTGCAAAGGATAATGACATTCAGTCAGAGGTTTCTGTGAGTTGAATCGAATTCCTAACTTTAAGCTCTTTGCTCTTTGCAGTTACAAAAGATCTGTCATTTTGTTCTCCTGCCTTTTCCCTTCTCAATGCCCAAACTGTCTATTTAGACAGAATCTCATTCCTTAGATAAAGATAATAATGAGTGCCTTTTTAATACTGCTTAGACTTCTTTGAACCTTTTATCTCTTTACCAGAACATGGTACAAACAGTGTTGTTAAAGTGCTAGGGAGGGAAGGAGGGAGGAAAAGAGGGAGGAAGGTAATCCCAGTGTTTTCTATTAAAATTGAATCTCTCTTTCCTTTTCAGAATGCCGAGCTAGGGAAAAGAGCCCCAAGATGGATCCGAGATAATGAAGTAACGATGTGTATGCAATGCAAAGAGCCTTTCAATGCACTGACAAGGAGAAGGCATCACTGTCGAGCATGTGGACATGTAAGTGAGATTTTTTTCATCATGAAGATTCCCAGTAACTATAGGTATTGTGAAATCGTCAACTTGGAAAAGACCCCAAAACTCACTCAGTAAAGCACTTCATTGATAAACTAATTTTCGTGACAAGCATGCACAAAGCACAGTGCTGGGTCCTGGAGTAAAAATAGTAAGCAAAATGATGCCCGGCTTCGCACAGGTTACATCCTATTGAGAAAATAGAGCAGTCAGGTAAATGGACAAGTAAGTGTTTCAAATGACTATAAATGCAATAAGGAGGCAATCAGGAAGTTTACAATGGAGAATAATGGTAAGGAAGGGGGGTTTGGATCCACTTTTGGTTAGAAAAATGAAGACCTATCTGAGGGGTTGATACTTAAGCTGATGCCTAAAGGTGAGGCAGAGCTAACCGCAAGAAGGGAGGCGAGATGTGCTTTCGGGCAGTGAGAGTCTGTGTGTCATAGCCCTGAGGTAGGCAAGAGCTTGGTCTTTTCTTGAGACTGCCAGAGGGCATGTGCTGGAGCATGGTGAGTCGAGTGTGAAGTGTGGTAGAAGAAATAGTTAGAGAAATAATAACCAAAGGAGTTGACGGCTTTGAGAAAATAGAACGTCTTAGCATAAGTGGAAGTTCAGGCTTTTGATGGGAAGAGAGAAACTTCCCGCTATGGTAAGGGAAAGGAAAAGAGAAAAAGATGGTTGCAGATTGGGTGTGGTTTTGAGTTGGTAGTGGGAAATGAGGGAATTTAAGTCTGATGACATGTAAGCAGAATATCATGTCATCAGCTGACAGTGAAGGGGGAAGGAAGAAAGGTGGGGCGGGGGGGGGCGTTGAGAAAGAAGACTAAGTGTGAAATAGTTGTTTCCGGGCAGGGAAAAGCGAACCTGTCAGAGAAACAAAGGTGTTCAAATGTGGATCATGAAAATACTGTGATATGATTTGAAAAGAAGATATTAGTTAATAGGAATTTACAGTACAGACATATCTAATTCTAAATCCTAGAGTAATTTCAGGAGAAAAAAGTAATTTTTATTATGAACTTTACATGCTGTGAACATAAATATTTACATTTCTTAAATACAGTTTGTTGACTGTAAATTGGAAAAAAATGTGCTCCTAGAACCAAGAATATAATTTTTTAATGTGGAAGTTTGTTTTTTTAATAACAATTATCTTATAGTAATTAGGAAAAATACTGTTCACTAAGAAATAGTATGTATTTTCATTATAGTCATTTATTCCTTGGCATTCTATAAATGTTTATTGTGTGCTGATAAGCAAAATATACAAGGACAACCTCCTAGAGCTTGCAGTTAGGGCAGCAAGCATTTATTAAATAATCACACAAGTATATGAGTATAGCTTATAATCAGTATATGAAAAAGAGTACAGGGAGCTTGAGTGGCACAGTGACAAGAGACATGCTCCAGACTGGAAGTTGGAGGAGTCTTCCTTGAAGAAGTGAAATTCAAGCCAACATCTGAAGGATGAACAGCAGTTAATTCATGAAGCGGAGATGAGGGGGGAGGGAGCATGGCACTTTGGGGCTGGGGAAGCCAGTGTCACTAAAGATACAGAGAGTCAGAGGGGCAGATTATGCAGGACTTTGTAGACCATAGTTAAGAATATATTCCATATCTAACAGCAAAGGGAAGACTGAAGGATTTTAAATATTAGAGAAGAAACATCAGATTATGATTATTTAAGAGAGCATCCAAGGCCATTTGAGATATGGCTTGGAGGGAAGTAGGAGTGGAGGCCTGGAGGCTAGTAAGATTGCTACAAGGAGCAGTCACAAGGCTCTCATAGTCCAAACCAGGACACTGATAGCTTGGACTTGGGTGATTACAAGAAGATGTAGATAAATGGACAGATTGAAAACTCTGTAGGAGGTAAAATCAGTAGGACTTAGTAATATAATGACTCTGTGGGGTGAGCAGTGGAGAGGTGTCGGGGATGGTCCTGGGTTTATGACCTGTCACGACTGGTTAAATGGCTGTGCTGTCTCCTGCTATAGGGGCATGAGGAAGGGTGGGGTGGGGGGAGGAGAGCTCTAGGGGCAGGGAAGGTCATGAGTTCATTTTGGAAGGATATTGATGAAACAGCCAGAGGAGTGAAAAGTAAAGATCCCGACCAAGCCTCTGAAGACCTCCTGCCTTTAGAGGTCAGAAAGAAAAGGGTGAGCCAGCATAGTCCATCGTCATGAATTACTATGGTAATAATCCCAATGCTCACAGGGATATTCTTAGTGTATAATAATCTGCCTTTTATATAAACTTTCTTATTACCATTATATATGTTTATGGCTTAAATCTTACTATTGTTTAAATGTGATTATTCACTCCTCATTACCTTTTCTAATTTAAGGTGGTTTGTTGGAAGTGTTCTGATTACAAAGCTCAACTGGAGTATGATGGTGGTAAACTGAGCAAAGTTTGTAAAGACTGTTACCAAATAATAAGTGGATTCGCAGAGAGTGAAGAAAAGAAAAGAAAAGGAATTTTAGAGGTATGAAATAGTAAATGTTAGATGTCTTTTAGACTTTCATATGAGGAACATAGAGTTGTCTTTTAACCCTGAAGAAGGCAACACGTTTTGTTATTTCTCTTAGTGTTTAACAGTTTGGAGAATGATGAGCGCGTCATACTTTTGTTCTGTGTTGCTGAATTTTGGGGTCACATTCAGTTGTACAGAAAGAAGAGGGCAGTGTTCTGCATTTGAGAGTGAATATATTGATTTTGTGAAGGTAGCTATAGTCAAATATTAGAGTATTGTTACCTTTTCCAATGCCCCAATTACTATAATGTATTTTTTATAAGTTTATTGATTTTTTTTATAGAGAGGGTAAGGGGGGGGAGAGAGAGAAACACTGATGTGAGAGAGAAACATCAGTTGCCTCCTGTACGCATCCCAAGCGGGGATCCAACCTGCAACCTTTCAGTGTATGGTATGAGGCACCAACCAACTGAGCAACACTGGCCAGGGCACTATAGTGTATTTTTTAATAGGAAAGCTTTTCTCTACGTTTCATCATATTGACTTTGAAAAAACACTGCATGAAATTATTAAATTTTAATAGCCAGTGACAATAATCCCATAACTGCATTGAAATATTGTTGAAATGTCTCACAAGTGAATTTGACTCATGCTTTAGGATATAGTCAGCCCCCCAAGCCTGGGAACTATAATGCTACTTGTATCTGAAATGAGCGTCACACCCAAAGATATAATAAGGCCTTCGTGGCAGAAGGTTCAAGATAGCCTGGAAAGTCTGTAAAGAATAGGCTCAAGAGTAAAATTGTATTATCTAAAGTCATAGACATACTTGGTATATTAAGGGTTTGTATGGTTTATTAAGAATCATTTATTGAGCACTTACACTGTATAAGTATACAAAGGTCCTTGTGGGTAACTGGTAAAGGATCATGAACTTCAAGGTTCATTTAAGGTTAAAGTGTAGGTCTGTACACTAAAAATATAACTCTGAATTCCAGGGTAGAGATGTCACTTGAATGGCAGACCAGAATGGGGCTTTCTCAGGCAGGGTGGGTGGAGAGAGATGCTTCATTGGCTCCCAAGATCACAGGCTCAGTTCTTAACAACAGCATCTGATGTGACCGTATTAATATGATAACTTGGCCCTGCTGGGCCTGGCTCAGCGGTTGAGCATCGACCTAGGATCCAGGTGATCAGGGTTTGATTCCCGGTCAGGGCACATGCCCGGGTTGTGGGCTCGATCAATGACTCTGTCATCATTGATGTTTCTATCTCTCTCTCTCCCTCTTCTTTCCTCTCTTGGAAATCAATAAAGATATATTAAAATATATATATATATATGATAAGTTGTTTTAAGGGGTGAGTTTCAGGCTTTATCTATGAAATAAAAGCCTCCAGGTAATTTTCTAGAAAAACCTATATTGGGGGGCAGAGGGATCAATTACTTAACTAGGTTAACACATATGCACACACACATACATGCAGTATTTGAAACTCACTTCGTGCCAACTAGTGTTATATGCATTAGACCAAGGGTCTCAATCAACTTTTTCTGTTAAGGGCCAGAGAAAAACTATTTTAGTTTTTGCAGGCCAAGAAGGAAAACTGAGAATATTACTTCTCTAACGAGGAAAAAAAGTGTTCACAAATTTATATAAACAAAATTTATAATAATTTAGTATAGCTTTCTCTAATATGGTAATAAGAAGAATGGAATTCTTTAGAGGAGGAAGAGAAGGTAACATTTCCCTTAATTGGAGTCAAAAGTTAGTGTTTCCTATTTTCAAATTGATCTCAAATGACTATCTGTAAACACTTTTCTTAGCTCCCAGGTGGTTACAAGAACAGGTGATGAACTGGTAGGCCATAGTTTGCCAGTCAGTGCTTCTTAGACTATCTGTGATGAAGGGTCAGTTTTATTTCTAATACACGATCATGAGCTTGAGTGTCATCACAAAGTCAAATTGCTGCAAAAATTTCTCATTGTTGACTCTTACTTTCTTTGCTTTTCTTGAACCAGTTACAAAACAGTTTGCGAACCAGCACTGTTGAATGGGAGACACTGAATAGCAGTACCCTAAGGATTTGATGCTTTCCATAATGTGTGTAATCAAAAAACATCTTTTAGTCAAATGATTTTCTTTCCTTTCAGCCAGTGACTTATATATTTGCAGGGAAAGCAGAAAACTGTAAATGGCTCTACAGTGAATGCAGTTTTTAAAAACTTGAATTATCTCAGGTTCCAGGACAAAGATTGCTGGCCAGGGTTTGTCTTTTTGTTACTGCATTTGTACATAGTTGAAGTTGGTATGCATTGTGGTTAAAGTTTAGGCTCTGGATCCAGACTCAAATCCCAGTATGCCAATTCCTACATGTATGATCTTGGGAAAGCTATTTCATCTCTGAACCTCATAGATAATGAAAGTTGTGCCTTCTTGGTGTTGGTGTGAGGATTATAATAATGAAATGATACATTTCTTACTGAGCTAAAATAAGTGTCTGCATAGTAAGCAGTTAATGAATGTTTAACTCCATTTAGATCAATGTCTGGTAATACAGAGAGTTAAAATTGACTTAGATATTTTCCCATGCTAGTAATCTAGATGAATATTTAAATAATTGCAGATGAACTTTTTGGATGGTCTCAGGAGACATTTTATATAAACACACTGTATTTAATGAATGTTGCCTTAAGTTGAATTACTTCTCTAAATGGTCCGTTTTGTGTTCATTCTCACACTCTCACTCTCTCTTTCTATTATATTTTTCTAGATTGAATCAGCAGAAGTATCTGGAAACAGCATTGTATGCAGCTTTCTTCAGTATATGGAAAAGTCAAAACCTTGGCAGAAAGCTTGGTGTGTGATCCCCAAACAAGACCCTCTTGTGCTGTACATGTACGGTGCCCCCCAGGTATTTAAACTGCATCTGTCTGAAGGGACAGAAATCATGGGGACAGAGGGAGGCGAGTGGATGGTGAACTCAAAATTCTTCCATGTGCACACCTCTATAGAACAAGAGAGCTCAGTAACATTGTTTCATTACAATTGCAAAAATAATAACTAAAATTCAAGGTTACCAATAATTTCTTCACCCCATGGATCATTTCTCTCCTTTTCTCATTCCTGTTGCATGGGTGTGAGAAAAAGGTGAGTTGAATTAGAAAAGTGCATCAGGAGAAAGGGGTGAAGCAGATGGAAAAGGAGCCTTTTTTAATAAGTCCCTCAACCTTGAATGGAGGAATACCTGAAAGAAAGAAATTGAGAGGAAGGAGACTTTAAATCAACCTTAGGTTAACATTATACAGTAACAGTTGTTTGAGAACCATCTGTGCATGGATCTCAGATAAATCTGTGAGAACAACAGACATGCAGGTTTAGCTTTTAACCAGAGCAGCTCCAGGCACTATGGATTGTATAATGCTTGAAAAACAAGTAGCACTTAAACCAATTATGCATTCACCTGGAAAGACATAAACATTTAAATGTACCTGTTGCATTTTAGCCTATACCTGCATTAAGGGCTAGTAAAACTTTTTTTAGAAATAGACTTAAAATGCCAAGGTATATATTTTATTCTATTTTGTGTTTTTTTTCCTGTCCATAAATACGTTGATGCATGAATGAATGAAACACCAACTAAGACTGTGCTTGGTAATGAAAGAACCATTAACATTTGCTGGTTTTATAAAATAAGATGGCTATTCTTTTCTTCCCTTGTTCACTGAATGAAGAGCTGAGTAGGCTCCCTCGAAGAAGAGGGATTGGGTCAATGAATCCTAGCTAATTTTAGGTGTCAGCTCTCATTCATTCATTCATTCAGTCAGTGATATTAGTGGCCTCATGGACAGGTGCTGTGCTATTCCCAGATCACCGTCTTTCTCCATGGAGAGCTCACGGTGCAAGTCTGTGTGGAACGATGGTAGGAAAAGAGGTTCAGTAGGAGCCGGATCACAAAGGGTCACGTATAGCATGCTAACACATCTCACGCTCTTTATGTACTATGTTTCTTCTTTAGGATGTCAGAGCCCAGGCCACCATTCCACTCCTGGGCTATATCGTGGACGACATGCCGAGGAGTGCGGACCTGCCACACAGTTTCAAACTGACCCAGTCCAAGTCTGTGCACAGCTTTGCTGCGGACAGTGAGGAACTGAAACAGAAGTGGCTGAAAATCATCCTCCTAGCTGTCACAGGTGAGACACTAGAGGGTCCTAACCAGCACTCAGCTACCTTGGACTGTCATCCTGAACCTAAATAAAAATCAGAATGCTGAACTCCAGGACCAGCCACAGCGCGGGGGTCTCAAGATTCACGGCTCAAGACATTCCCAGCTCTTCTTATTCATCTCTTAGCACTTTATGTTGAAAAGTATAGGCTCATAAATGTACCTGGTAGGGGACTATTTTCGTATGTTTGTGGACTCTTGGTGAAGTTACTGTGCAGAGCCATTCTACCGATAAAAGTTGGAAATAATGTGAAAAATTGAGCATTTTTAAATGAGCTATTCCTTGAATATGTACTTTTGTCTTGGAGAAAATGGTTATCAATTGATTATATCACTATCAGGTTAGAATAGACCACTTTCACTTAAATGTTTTAATGTATTCTCTTTCACTTGTAGGACTTGTAACAGTTTGAAAGATATACCTCCATGTTGCCAAAATAGTTCCATGGTTAAAAAAAAAATTACAAGGACGACAGTTTAGGCTATTGTATTAACTTATTTAATTTAGTTTATGAAGCTCATGCTGCATAAATAACGTATGTCCTTTTAAAACAAAAGAGAATGGACATATTGTTGGTGTTCAAACTTTCAACTTATTAATGAAAGATAATACTTGTTTTTGTAGAAATACTCCTAAAAATGAAATATGTTAAGTATATAGGAATTATGTATATATAGTATTAAATATAAATATATATCTATATACTCTACATGCCTTTATCTTCAGCTTTAGGTTCATATTTGTCTCTAATTTATTTTTAAACTATAAAGCATGTTTTATCTTGGAATTGGACAGTGTTCTAAACTTAAATGTTTTTGGTGATTTATGTTTAACTGATTGACATCTAAGGGTATTGATATTTTTATAATAAGAAAAAGCCGTAATTTATGTGGCATGGGATATATTAGTGAATTCCAACCGTATTTTTAAAGTACTATTTTTTTTTTGTTCTGTGCCTATTTAAAACAGTGCCTCTCTTTGAAGGTGCTAATAATTTCTATTTAAATCTAAGGTGAGGGTTTCACTAATGCTCCAGTCTTGCTTATTCTGATATAAAGTGCATTTTGGTCACCGAGATGGTCAAAGTTATACAGGTTGTTTTTCCTTTTACGATCTTCTGATTGTTACAGCAGTTAATATCAGCACGTACAAAAATTTCCACAAGAACCTGAATTGTACAAGGTACCTGACCTTATACCCAACTGGGACATCAGGAAACTGCATTTACTGCACTGTTTTTCTTTTCCATCAGACTGTTATGCATGGTTAAATGAGGACCATATATAATTAATACTTAAGATAACTTTGTGGGCCTGTTCCTTTGTCAGATATGAAACAAAAGTCACGTGATAACCTATGTCGGAGAGGGCTGGATAGATATTAAAGGAAGTTTATGCTCAACTCTTTAAACCTCCCCACTAAAGAAGAGGGGGGCACAATACTGAAAAACAATGTTTTAATGGTAGGTTTTGGGGAGGTACAAGATCATTGACAAGAGTCTGAGCATTCTTTTCTCATTTATCCTTTTGGGGAATCTTAATAGACAAAATATAACTCCTTGTGACAAAGGCTTCTCTCCCTTATATTGTAATTATGATTAAAATATCACATTAAGTTGGCTAATTAACTTAATTATTTTCTCAAATTAGATCTGGGTTGTTCTTCTCATTTACCCTGTTATGCCCCCAAATGTCGTCACTTTTAATGCATCGTCTAGAAATCCACAGAATGACCTCACTATCCTCTGCCCTTGGGGATTACACCCTAAATGTGAATAGATTCGCTCAGAATTCGAGATTCTCACTCATCTATTTAGGCCCTCTTAAGAAAATTTGAAATAGCTCCTATTTTTCTGCAAAGGAGCAGATAAACTACTTATGGCTGACATGATCTGGTTGCCTTCCTGCATAAAAGGAATACCAGCCATGATCATTTACATTAAACCAAATACTTGGAGCCAAAAAGAGATAAAGGTAACTTCTTCCTATTAAATCAGGGACAGACTAAGAAATATTTTACATTGCTTCTCTTTTCTAGTTGCCGAGCGTGTGTGTGTGTGTGTGTGTGTGTACAACATGTGTGTTCATGGGTGGTTATTGAGGTTAAACTAAAGCTATAGATGATACGTTGGTTTTCTTAATCTCAAGAAGAGAGAAGCAATAAAAATGTAGAATGATTATCAGGGAAAGGTGACTTTTGTAAATGTGGATAGAACAATGGAAATGGAAGGACCAATTAGAAGATTTATGGGGGCAGATTATTTTTGAAAACTGTTTTGACCAGCAAGAAGACCATACTTTCCCTTTCAGTGAGTTCTCCTGGAGTGGAAGTAACATAGACAAGTTTTGGCTCAATAAATATCCATGTTATTTAATTGAGATGATTGAAAGAATACTCATGAAGGGAATATTTATTATCATGCTCTTAATACTATCTTTAATTTGATCAAAAAAATGAGAAATCTTATTTTAAGAAGAGAACTTCTGATTCTCGTCACCGTCTTCACATCCCACCCCATGTCCTTTAGCCAAGCAACAAAGCAGCCTCACCTGTTTTTTGTTTTCTGTTTTAAATTAAAGAATCACTAATGCTTTTACTTGGAGAAAGGCTGAGGAATATGCTTAGTCAGCTATTTAGCAAAGACTCAACTAAACCAAAAGACCTCACAGTATGACTAGTTACAAGAATAATCTACATCTTTTGCTTTCTGAGGCACCTGAGCAGCCGTGACAGATTGGAACCTAAGAAAGTAATTGGTTGCTTTCCTGTTAAACCCGACATTCCATATGGGTCTTACAATTTATTTTCTCTAATTAGGTGCTTTCCAAGTCATCTTTTCTTTAAAGTGCCCTCCTCCAAACTGAAAAATTTACTACTTTGCTAAAAACTGCTCTTCATTATAAAACATTCCATTTTTTTTTTTAAACTTAAATTTTGCTTTATTGAAAGTCTACCATTTGGGGTATTAAGTATAAAATATAGTGCAGACTGATCTCCAGGTTTTCAGTGGGACTCAATAATGACAAATGCCACCAGCCACTTTTGTAATAATGGCATCTACAATGCTATCATGTATGCAAGCAATAAAACTCTTCAGGGTATGTTTTTATACTGAAATTTTAGCATGAATGCCCCTAGCCACATACATAGAGAATTAACTGCTAGAAGTGATGATGTAACTCATTGCTCAGTATCAGGAAGAGAAAGTGATGTGTGGGGGGGAGGGACATTATTCCTTGGATTCAAAGAACTATCAAAACCATTTTACTTTTGCAAAGGGTATGGATGGTGAAACAATTAAAGCACATCTGCGCTACTTTATCAAGCAACATTCATTTTTCATGAAGTTTAATAACATACAGGTTGGTATACTTACCTTCACTGGGTGACCTACCCCCATTTTTAAAAACACTCCAATTTTTAAAAATTACCAAACTTTTTTTAAGAACTAGCCTTTTAAATGTACCCTGTCCCCATCTGTAGATAAACATTGGATTTTTTTTTTTTTTTTTAAGAATACTTGCTGTAGTCCTAAATATATAAAAATAAGTACAAACTTCATAGTACTGCAGGGTTGTTAAGGATTCATCGATGCCTTCTAAAAACCTTACGTCAAAAATACTTCCGCGAGCTCACGAGTACGCTTTACTTCTTGTCTACTTTGTGGAGCAGGGTGTTTTAGTCCCTTTAAATTTTAGATATTATTTCTGGTTCTATTCAAAGCCTTAAGTTCTTATTCTGAGCATACTGTCTGTGATAACTCTGATAATGATCTTTCTGGGCTGGATCCATCCTGAGGAAAGGCACCAACGGGAGCAAGCAAACTTCTAGGGAAAAAGGTCTTATTTTTTGCGGTTATCCTTGCTATGGTGCAGAACAGAAGATTAATTAAAATTTCCTACATCACATGATGTTTGTGTTAGCGGGTCTAAGAGTAAGCACATGGTATTTATAAGCTAAAATTAATTCAGAATACAAGAATGTCTTAATGTTTTCGTTCTTAAATTTTGTATTCTTCAAGAATGTATTAATATGAAAACTATGGCTAAACAGTTCTGACTCTTAGGACTGTATTGACATCGTAGTGAACCATGTTATTTCTTTAGTCTTATCCAGTTTTAATTGAATCAAATTTTGCTTTTTATTTTCATATTACTATCTACTAGACTCTCCAGATTTGGAAAATATGGGTATGACATATAAAGACCACTAGATCTACTTTTAAAACCCTTTCTGTGAATTTCTGATTATATGTATATATGTAAAAATACTGTTGATTTCCAATTCTGTTTTTTCATAAGAATGAAATTTTTATACAAACTGTTGTTTTTAGTTTAAATATTTTAACATAAATTATTCACATGGGTTTTTAGTATAATTCATTCTTATTTATGCCCGTGATCATGTCATGAGATGAAAACTTTGCTTTCTTTACTGATACAGTAGGAGGAATAAAATTAGGAACTGAAACAAGCAGTAATGAGCAGAGAGGTGGACAGAAAGAGACTGCTCATCTCCAGATCAGAGCAGTGTGTGTTAAAAGAAAAATACTTACACTGCAGAAGGGATAGAAACTATAAGATATAAATCTACATAATTGCATACTGTTGGGATTTATTGCACCCAGGCCTTTCACCTTGGCCTCTAAATTGTATCATTAGTCTCTTGTCATTACTTTCTTTTTCCTTTAGGCTTTAAAAGAAATAATTTCATTCTATTGTGCCATTTTCGGCACTATTTACTGAAGTAAAATATCCCTCTGAAGTCCATCATGGTCTGTTGCTTTCTGGACTGAACATTTGGCAAAATGTAGTGTCTTTTCTGTGTTTTGAGATGAAATAGCACATGACTTCCGCAAAGATTGTTTTTGACTTGCTGGGGTCACTGAGTTACATAATGGTCATCCCTTTCTAAAATTCATTATAGATTAAATTAGTGAGATTAGGTAGATTTAGTGATAAATTAAATCAAGAAATCTCATTGTAGCATATTTTAATAAGTGAATACCAAATACATAGAGTGATATATATGTAGGTTTGGGGAGAAACATAATATTCTGTAGAGACCATTATAATAGATTGCATTATATATATCACATTATATGGATGTTGGAATGTATCACTTCCGGGGGGAGGGGGGTCTCCCTTCATTAGCAATCATGTCTGTATATAAAACTGTCTTTTGTTTTTATTTTACCAAACTAGCATTTCATTTCGTGAGTGACAGTTGACTGATATTTTTGAAAGTGTTATCTGGGTTTTGAATTGTTGACTGATCAGTTTGAAAAGGTATGTTATCAGAATTTTAGAGTTAACTCAAATGTGAAAAAGTGTACACAAAGGTAATTTTTCTTTTCTAGCTATATGAATGTGAAATACTTGCAGATAGTGTATATATTGTGTAACATATGTATATTTGGTCATAAAGGCAGAGAATCAGAAGCATTGTAAAATTAAGCACTTTAATTCCTATTAAATATTAAACATTTGTATCTTGTAAATAAATACATCCTTAAATGAATTCTAAAGACTTAGATGTTATTTCACCTAGGATTATATATGTTCAGTTCACAAATTTGGGTTGGCTCCTCTCCCTCCCCACACCGTCAGATATGCAGCCAGGGGAGTCTGTTAAAACACAAGCCAGATCATGGTGCTTCTCTACCCCAGCCCCTCTAGGGGCTCCCCATTTCACTCCGAATAAAAGCCAGAGTCCTTTGAGTGGCTTCCCAAGGCCCTGTATCCCCCCCCCCACTGCCCTGCACCATGTCTCCTTGCCTTTTCCTAACCACGCCAGCTACACCCCAGCCTTATAACACACACCACTGTCACTCTGCTCGCAGCGCTCCTGGCCCAGATACCGGCATGATGAGCGCCTCTGCCAGCTTAAAGCCTGCTCGGATCTCACCAGCGCACTCTCGCTTGAGCGTGCATGGCATCTCAGGTTCCAGCTGCCTCCACTGCCAGCATATCGCTCCCATTCATCCTTAATCTGATTGATTTTTCCCCATAGCACTTGTAATCTTGTAACAAACTAAATAATTAGCTATTTTAATGGGTTTTTTGTTAACCCTCACCCAAGGATATTTTTTTATTGATTTTTAGACAGAGTGGAAGGGAAGGAGGGAGGGAAGAGGAAGAGAGAGAGAAATATCAATGTGAGAGAGACACATCAATTGGTTGCCTCCCACACATACACCCCCGACAGGGACGGGGGGAGGGGTCGAACCAGGAACCAAACCCTCAACCCTTTGGTTTGAGGGTCGACACTGTAACCACTGAGCCACATAGGCCAGGGCTTCAGGTTTGGGTTGTGGGTGGTGGTTTTTTTTTTTTGTGATCTTCACCCGAGGGTATTTTTTCCATTGCTTTTCAGAGAGAGTGGAGGGGAAGGAGGGGAAGGAGGAGAGAGGGAGAGAAAGAGAAACATCAATGTGAGAGAGACACATTGACTGGTTGCCTCCCGAATGCCCCCGACCAGGGGACTGAACTGCAACCCAGCTACCTGCCCTTGTCCAGGAACTGAACCCTCGACCCTTCAGTGTGTGAGCCAATGCTATAGCCACGGAACAACACTGTGCAGGGCTACGTTTGTTTCTATTGTTTGTCCACACCTACTAGAACATAAGCTCCATAAAGGTAAGGATTTTTATCTGTTTTGGTCACTCATGTCCCCAATTCTCAGCATAGTGCTTGGCACATTGTAGGCACTCAATAAATACTAGCTATAAAAACTAGGTTATATAACAGGAAAAAACCCACAAAACCTTTCTTCCAAAGCATTGAATTGTTATGGGTACAAACTCTTGGAATCGTGGCTGGAAGGAAACGAAAGCAACATTTTATATAACTAAATTGTTTTAATAACAAAGCCAGATTCCTAAGGGTTTAAAAACATAGTCAAGGATTTCAACATACAATGGTGAAAATCTTAGTCAATCGTTGCATAATGGATTCTTGCTTTTAAAGAAAAATCAATCTCAACCCACTGTCACCACCATCACCACAGCACCTGGACTGTGAGGAAATCAGAGGCAGCCGGTCACTGTTCCAGAAAAAGCCAGAGGCACCGAAACACACATCCTGAGGAAACGGGCTGGCAGAGGGGACCTGGCCCCGGCTCGATAATGGGCCCTTAGTCTGCAGTTTACTCTCTTCTATAGGAAGTGACTCATGCATTGGTTTGGTCCTGAATTTAAGTGAAAACAAAGCCACGTTGTTTCGTCTCAGTAAACGCTCTGCTACAGCATTTTCAGATGATCACTGAAATATATTGTGATCAAACACTGAGCAAAGGCCCAAGTCGCTGGTGCTCAGAGCTGATTGTCTAAGTGAAGTCCAAGTCTGTGGGCAAAACTCCGCGATGCTACTTCTTGGGGCTTTGAGTTGACTTCAGGGCTTGGGTTCACCTTCTACCAAAGAGTACAGTTGGGTGGGTCTCTGACAGGGACATAAAATAATTGTAAAAGCCATTTACGAAATTTTAATTCTGCTAAAAGTCATGTTTTAAAATGTATGAGGTATTTTGTTTGTTGGTTTTAATCCAGAGATACAAGGAACTCCTAAATCAGGGAGCTTTTGTCAAATTGAGGATCAAGAGAACTGGGTTCTAATCCTGTCTCTTCTCGTACCTGGAGCTGTGAACCTGGGCACATCATTTTACCTCTCTGAGCCCTGGTTTCCTTACTTGTAAAATACTACTGTTGGACTAAAATTTAAAGTTATAAAAATTGCTAACGTTCCGAACTTTAGGCTCCAGTATTGTAAGATTCTTATTGTTTATATTTTTGTTATTCATTGTTGCCCTGATTCTCCTTGCCTTTTTTAAAACCTGTATTTGGAATCATATGCAAGTATAATTTAATTGTATATATAAATGCACATAGTCACTCCTATTTTTCTAAATGTTCTTCAAGTGCTTCTTTAACAGTGCGGTATGGAGAGTCTTCTCTCCATGGATGTTCATCCAGTGGATCCTGGGAAGACAAGGAAGGTAGCTGATGGGCTCAGCATTAGTGCTGATGCACATATAATAGTCCCCTCTACAAGAGTCAAAGTGATTCTTCAGGCACATGGGCTGGGCTGACTGTCAGGTAAGGCGCTCTAAGTGCTGCACTTAGGCACTGAGCAGCACTTGCAGAGGCCACCTCTGCCCTGGCTGAACTCCCAGGCTTGGAGTCTGATTCTTAACTCCCAACACCCTTATTGGTACCGTCTGCCTGTAAAAAGGCCAGATTTGGCCCTGTAATTTCACTTTCATACAGTTAAGAATATGATTAACGCCCAGCCAGCATGGCTCAGCGGTTGAGCATCAACCAAAGATACAGGAGACCGAGGTTCGATTCCCGATCAGGGCACATGCCCGGGTTGCGGCCTCGATCCCCAGTGTGGGGCGTGCAGGAGGCAGCCGATCAGTGACCCTCTCTCATCATTGATGTTTCTCTCTCTCCCTCTCCCTGAAATCAATAAAGACATATTTTTTAAAAAGAATGCCACTAACAAAATTAAAAGATAAAATGCATATTGGGAGAAAATATTTGCCACATACATAACAAAGCTTATTTTGCATTGTAAATATAAAAAGCTCTTACAAATGAATATCTAAAAATATCAGTGCAATGGAAAAAGTAGGCAAAGAATATGAATATAGGTAATTTACAGAAAAAAATATAAAGGACCAATATAAGCAAAAATTCAATAATGATTTTTTTTTTTAACCTATTAAGTTAGAAAAACTAAAAATATTGATACTACCTAGGGCGGGTATGGGGAAATGGGTACTCCCATATACTTTCGCGAGTATAAACTACCACACCAATGTCTATTTAGATTTTAAAGATGCATACCCTTTGACTTAGCAATCCCACTTCTAAGAATCTACCCTACTGAAATACTAAGAAAAGTATTAATACAACCACATATAAGGGTATTTACTGCAACATTGTTTGTAATAAATTCAAAGTGATGTATCTACCAAGAGAAAATCTATTAAATTATGATCCTTATAAGAGAACATTATGCAGCTGCTTGAAAGAATATTTTGGGATCTTTATGTATTGATATGCCAATGAGTGAAGAAAATCTATAATAAAAGGAGCTTTTTTCACTATAAGTGAAAAAATAGAACTATGCATGTAGTGTGATCTAATTTATATTATATGTTTGTGTCAGAACAGTGAAAAGTGTGAGGAGAAAGAAGCTACGAACAGTGCTTCCGATCTGGAGAGTGTGATCCAAGGTGAGGAGATTTTCATATTTTGCGTTTATTTAATGATAATGTTATGGACTGAATTGTGTCCCCCCAGAATATATATGTTAAAGCCCTAAGAGCCAACGCAACCGTCTTTGGAGATAGGGCAGTAAAGAGGTAATTCATGTTAAGTGGTCATAAGAAGAGGCAGGGACACCAGAGGGCTCTCTTTCCTCACTTGTGCTCAGAGCAAAGGACACAAGGAGAAGGCAGCCATATGCAAGGGGGAGGAAAGCTCTTTCCAGAAACCAGCTTTGCTGGCACCCTCATCTTGGACTTCCAGCTTCAGAACTGTGAGAAAATAAATGTCTGTTGCTTAAACCACCCAGTCTGTGGTATCTTGTTATAGCAGCATAAGCAGACTAACACAGATATGTAGAGATTTCTATACTCTCTTTCATGGATAGTTTTTGTTAAAAGAGAGACACCCCCCCCCCTTTTTTTAGCAGATGTTTAAAAGCCTCACTTCAGGAGTAAGCTGAGCCCATAGGACAGAAACTTTCCCAATAATGAGTCCATCAGAGTTAGGCTGCTGTACTAATGAGGATAATTCACACCAACTCCTGCAGCAGACCTCTACATCTTAATCTATTAAGATTTATTTATTGCTCTGTTACATGTCTAATATGCTTGACAGGGAACTCTATTCCAGGTAGACACTCAACATCTTGCTCCCTCACTCAACATGTGGCTTCCGAGTTTGCCAAAGTGGAGGAAGGGAGCTAGAGGGTTGAGCAAGGCTTCTCACTGACCCAGCTCAGAGGAAACACATGCCACCTCTGCCCACAGTTATTGCAGAACCAGTCACGTGGCTCCAACCAAGCTGCACAGGAGGCTGGGAAATAATAACCATATGAATATTTAGCGACTAGCAAATGTTCCTGTCATACTCTTTGATCATGGATTGAATTATATTCTCCCCAAAAGATATTTTCAAGTCCTAACCCCCGGGTACCTCAGAATATCATCTCATTTGGAAATAAGGTCTTTACAGAGCTAATCACCTTAAACTCCCTTTGAATTGAAATTCGTCTTCTGTCTCCTTTTCAAATGAGATTAGTGTGAGCCCTCATCCAGTATCTTTAGGAAAGAAGGACATTTGGACTGACTCAGAGACACACACGCAGAAGGATGACCATGTGAACACACGGGGCAGACTGAGGCTGGAGTTACGCTGCCACAGGCCAAGGAGCACTTGGGGTCAAACGAGCCAGGAGAGGCACGGAATCATGGATGCTCCTTCACAGCCCTCAAAAGGAACCAATCCTGCT